AATGTTTTGTGTAGGGAATAAATAGTTTTGACTGTTAAAGCAATGCTAAAGAACGTTGCATGTGATGACGTCACAAGTACGCTTCTGCTCCAATACACATACGTGCTTGCGTGCTCGCGTTCTCGTCAAGTCCGATCTTCCTGCGTTCTCGCCAAGAACGGACTTCACGAGAACGCAAGTACGTACTCGCGTTCTCGTGAATTGAGAAACGCCCCCAGAGTCCACCCTTTCCTGTGTTCTTCTCAAGAACATACTTGGCGAGGACACGAGTCTGTACTCGAGTTTTTGAGAATTGAAAAATGGTCTCTGTCTGTGGTTCTGGTCCAATCAGGCCGCCTACCACCGCGGTCACTGGACCAGCTTCTGGTACCTTTGGTTCAGTGTGGGCCGGTAGTTTTGATGGCTGTGCCTCCATGAGGATGTAAGCTCCTCCAGCCTCCTGATTGGTTCTCCTTCTGACCCAGAACTGAGAGACCAAAGACAACCAGGAAACCTTCAGAGTTCATTATCAGTGGAAACCAAGAAATGTCCTGAATTCTGATAGATGGAAAGTTTTTATTCCCTGGAAGCAAAAATAATGTGAAATAACCGTAATAAAGGCTGAAAATGTTCCCTCTCTCTGCTCACCTGAGCTTACAGGTATAGTGGAGGATCTTTTTCATCATAATAAGTGGTCCTCCTAATTGTCAATCATTCTGGTAATATGTTTACGTAAGGTCGTCCTACGTGCTCGTCCAGATTTTCACTTACTGGTGGCGAGTCTGACATAGAGGAAAAATTGCAAATCTTCTTTTGGAAGGTGAGCTTGTATGATCGATGCGGGTACAGGGTTGAGCATGGGAATTTCTCCACATTTCCTTTAACCATGATGTTGGTGTCCAAAGCAGAGAGGAGCAGAGATGCAGAGAGGAGCAGAGATGCAGTTTTTTTGTTGTTGTTTTTAGTTAAAATTAAAAGAGCAAAAACAAATGTTGATCTGGGGGCGTACATAGTGCTCAGACTGCGCTCTGATTGGTTGATGTGGGTTTCTG